TCATTATCACCAGCAGCTAGTGTGTGTGTGATAGTGCTCAGAGGAAGGGCTGATGATGCTCAGTGGGTTAAGATGTTACTTAGAGACCTGGAACACAATATCCCCTCATCCATTACCCAGGGGAGAGAGAGAAATCCTCTTCCCTCCCATAGTGTGACCCTCCAGCGGGGAGACAGCAGTATCAACAAACCCCTCTCCTAGAGCTCAAGTTCATTAAAGGCCCAGTGCAGTCAAAATTCGGTTTTTCCTGTGTTTCTTAACGTATTGTACAACAGCTGATGAAACGAACACTATAAAAGTGTGAACAAATTTGATCAATGTTAGTTCCTGATAGTTGCTGGTTGAAAATACAATTTACACAGGACCTTCTAATCAGCAGGTTTTGCATGGGTGGAGTTTTGGCTTCACCAGGCTTATAAGTTAATAGACCAATAACAAAGAGCGTTCCAAACCTCTCTGCCAATAACAACTAGTTTTCAGGTAACATATCCCTCCCATTAGGCCCTCCAATTAAATCAAATCAAATCAAATTGTATTTGTCACATACACGTGTTTAGCAGATGTTATAGCGTGTGTAGCGAAATGCTTGTGCTTCAATTAGGTCCCTCACTCAGACCACTCCCAGACCATCCTAGCAAAATCGTAGCTTGAGACTTATTTTTTCTAAAAAGCTATATTTGTGGCTTTTTGACCATTTTAATGGGAAACTATTACAGTAATGTACTTAATTGTTACCCAGAAAGGATTTTATATTGAGATAAAAACATCTGCATTGGGCCTTTAAGATCAATGATACTTCTGTATAACCAGACATCATCTACTACCCTACCCAGTCTCTGGGGCTTATCTGCTGTGAAGTACAGACAGGATAATTTGTGCAAATGCTTCATTCTAGTAAATCATAAAATAACATGTTGCTATTAGCTCGAAGCAGAGCCATGATAATCATGTAAAGCTGTACTAACTCTGTTCTGAGAATATAAAATGCATCCTACCCATGCATCAGAATTGTTTTCATTTTTGTCAGGGTGTAGGATCTCTATAGTCCTGTTACAGGTGTGAATTGTGTGTGTGTGTGTGTGTGTGTGTGTGCACGCGTGTGTGTGTGCTACATTGGCAGCCACAGACCTTCTACCAGGTCACCTGAGTCTACACATCTCTGCAATTTCCTGTGTTGCTCAGGTCACCTTTGAGGCCTGAAAGCACTGAGTGACAGCACACAGCTCTAGTCCAGAGGAAATTATGGCACCGTTCAGCATACTGTACACTGTGCTCCCAGAGATGACACCTGCACAATGACCTCTCTACTATCATATGGGCCACCAGTGGTAACATGATGCACACCCCAGTCTGGACCATTTGTATGTCATTATATCTGAGCAGAGTTATGAGGATTATTTGGTCAGTGAAGTGTTTATTCTATTGAAATGCAACCCTGTTTAAGTATTTTGAAACCTAAAGGAAAATACCACTCAAAAACTATATTTTGGTATTTGTTTCATTAGTCCACTGTTGATACAGTCCCAAAATGTTTTGCATGTCAACAATCAAGTTTTCAATATATAGAACTTTCAAAATACAAACTCTGTGTTTGTGTTTTGTGTGTGTGCATGTGTGTGCGTGCGTGCGTGCATCCGTGTGTATGTGTGTGTGTGTGTGTGTGTACTGCATATATTTGAGCTTCCTCTGTAAAACATACACCTTGTGGAGTGTATGTGCAGATTGATATCTCTTCAGCCAACACCTCTGAGTTAAGTTGGTGGCTGGTTCCAGAGGGACTCATCTGCACAGCCCAGCCCCATCTCAGCTAGACCTGAGTGCTGGTGAGATTTAGTTGCCCTGGCTACACTGTCTGCATGCATGTGTTGTGAAGCTAATGCCATGTGCCCCAGGGAACCTTTTCCAAGATTGTCTGACTTGCATTTGCCTTTGACTTATAGGCTGTAAGAGAAAGCCTCACTGTACTATCCATTGTTTAGGAAATATGTTTATAGAAATATGTATCAAAGACTGTTTTCTAATCAAAAGAAAGTAATGTATCATGCAGATATGTTTTTTTTTTAGCTTCACACAGACTCTTTATAACCACAAGCGTCAGTTTTGACATTTTAATCTGGGAAATTCCCTTTATTTTACCCTTTATTAAGTCACTCATCTGTGACTTTTAAAGCATAATAGGCCTACTGTAAAATGTTAGTGGACTCTACACCTGGGAAATGTTTCCACCCAGTGGCGCAAGACAGTAACTGCTTCTATTCATTGGCAGTCTTGTTATCCTGGCCTTTCATGTCTTCAATGTACATTCTCTCTCTCTCTCTCTCTCTCTCTCTCTCTCTCTCTCTCTCTCTCTCTCTCTCTCTCTCACACACACACACACGCACACACACAACTCCACTGATCATAGAAAGCAAGTAGCAGTATTAATGGACTTCAGAAAATAAATCAGATTAGAAAAAGGCGAAATGGCAACACAAATATGATCTCATACATTTCATAAAATGGGTAACATTACATTAAGCTAAGCTCATAATGACCTTGCTTTTATAGCCAGGTTGGGCTGCACTAATCTGATTTAGTGTAATCTGCTTCAATCTCTGATAAATGCTTACCACATGTATCTTGCAGAATGGATGGATGCTATTGGCCCACCACATCATTACTGACATACAGTATGCTATTCCTATGAAGAGCTTCGCCATATTTTTAAACTGAGCACCTCATTCTCATACTCCTTATATTCTATTTTGTAGCAGCACTGTCTAGCATGTAACGACAGCAATCCATGTTGAATTGTAAATTAATGAATAGGAACATAATATACAAAAGTATGTGGACACCTGGTCATCGAACATCTCATTCCAAAATCATGGGCATTAATATGGAGTTGGTCCCCCCTTTGCTGCTATAACAGCCTCCACTCTTCTGCGAAGGCTTTCCACTAGTTGTTGCAACATTGCTGTGGGGACCTGCTTCCATTCAGCCGCAAGAGCATTAGTGAGGTAGGGCACTGATGTTGGGCGATTAGGCCTGGCTCATAGTCTGCGTTCCAATACATCCCAAAGGTGTTCGATGGGGTTTAGGTCAGGGCTCTGTGCAGGCCAGTCAAGTTCTTCCACACCGATCTCGACAAACCATTTTTGTATGGACCTCGCCTTGTGCACGGGGGCATTGTCATGCTGAAACAGGAAATGGCCTTCCCCAAACTGTTGCCACAAAGTTGGAAGCACAGAATCGCCTAGAATGTCATTGTATGCTGTAGCATTAAGATTTTCCTTCACTGGAACTAAGGGGCCTAGCCCAAACCATGAAAAACAACCCCAGACCATTATTCCTCCCCCACCAAACTTTACAGTTGGCACTATGCATTCGGGCAAGTTGTGTGGCCTACCACTTTGCGGCTGAGCTGTTGTTGCGCCTAGACGTTTCCACTTCACAATAACAACACTTATAGTTGACCGGGGCAGCTCTAGCAGGGCAACAATTTGACTAACTGACTTGTTGGAAAGGTGTTCCCACGTTGAAAGTCACTGAGCTCTTCAGTACAGGACATTCTACTGCCAATGTTTGTCTATGGAGATTGCATGGCGGTGTACTCAATTTTATACACCTGTCAGCAACCGGTGTGGCTGAAATAGCCAAATCCACACGTTTGAAGGGGTGTCCACATACTTTTGGTCATGTAGTGTATATCCTGCTCATTATGTCGTCAAAGCCTTGTTATAAGTAACCTGCCAAATTTGGAGAGCTATGGTAAATATATCCTTGTCTTAAATTGTTGTTTTACGAGTGACATGGATGTATTATTACAGAGAGCTACTGTATGTATTGGTTTAAACATGTTGCTAGTAAAGTTCTCTTCACTGGGCGGCAGGTAGCCGTTAGGCCTGAATCCCTGAGCCGACAAGGTGAAAAATCTGTTGATGTGCCCTTGAACAAGGCAATTAACCCTCATTGCTCCAGGGTCGCCGTTGATAATGGCAGACCCTGGCTGTGGACCCTACTCTACGAGGGTGTCTCAGGGAGAGTGGGATATGCAAAAAACACATTTCTAATTCATATGTGTATTAATACACCCTTGCACATGTGTGAAATAGGACAAATATAAGCATCCACCAAATTATTACTATTATACTTTTACATTTTATATCAAGAATTATCTGCTCTGCTTGGCTTTGTAATAGTGGAGAACGTTTTTTTTTCAGTGTGTAGTAAGTAATTTGTATTACTATACAATTACTACTGTACAGTAGTAGTAATTGAACAATTTAATTAGAGAATGTATGAGCAGGGCTACACACCAATTACAATGTACCAGAGGAGGCTGGTGGGTAGATATATAGGAGGATGAGTCATTGTAATGTCTGGTTTCCAATGGTGCCACTGGACTCAGATCTACAGTTGCGCTCAGCTCAACCACTGGTGTCGCTGTGAAGTGAGTTTGGGGGGTGAATATAGCAGATGAGGATCTGTGAAACTCACTCATCAGCCTGAAGTGTCACCCTTTAACTTTAAAACTGAATGGAATATTAATTCACTGAACCACTGCTCTAGTCTAGACTACCTGCTGTAGTCTAGACAAACTTTATTTACAGTTTTATCCACTTTACATTGAAACACTTTTAAAAACAATACTATATGAACAAATATATCAGTAAGAAGAGTCAAACATCAACAAAGTATATGCAAGCATTTATCAACATGTTTGTGTGTACAGAGATCAGAGATGGACAATTAACCAATTAAATTGTCCTGTTGTCTGTAGTCAAACAAGTAAAGAATAGTTTTGTTATCTATACCTTCAGAACACAGTTCTGCTCACTGTACTATCAAACAATCACAAAAGTTAAGAATATAGTCTTGTCTGGACTAATAAAACAAAGAATACAGTCCTGTTCACTGTATAATCAATTAACTATTTAAAACCTTTAACAACAACAACCTGAGTGTTGAACTGAAGGAAATCAGAGTCTTCCTGTACTGACCCTATGGTACTGCCCCATCTACATCATGTTAAGCCCTGATTCAGACAGAGGCAGCAGCAGTCAGACACAGAGACCTTCACAGGTAACACCTTCAGCAAATCAAGAGAGTGATGAGTAAAGTAGGGAAAGGCCCTCTCAGAGAACTTGTGTGTGTGAATTTGAAATTATACAATGACTATGAGGTTAAAGTGCAGACTGACAGCTTTAATTTTAGGGTATTTTCATCCATATTGGGTTTCTACATCACAATTACATAAGTATTCAGACCCTTTACTCAGCGATTACAGCCTCGAGTCTTCTTGGGTATGACGCTACAAGCTTGGCACACCTGTATTTGGGGAGTTTCTCCCATTCTTCTCTGCAGATCCTCTCAAGCTCTGTCAGGTTGGATGGGGAGTGTTGCTGCACAGCTATTTTCAGGTCTCTCCAGAGATGTTAGATAGGGTTCAAGTCCGGGCTTTGGCTGGGCCACTCAAGGACATTCAGAGACTTGTCCTGAAGCCACTCCTGTGTTGTCTTGGCTGCGTGCTTAGGGTCGTTGTCCTGTTGGAAGGTGAACCTTCGCCCCAGTCTGAGGTCCTGAGTGCTCTGGAGCAGGTTTTCATCAAGGATCTCTCTGTACTTTGCTCCGTTCATCTTTCCCTCGATCCTGTCTAGTCTCCCAGTCCCTGCCGCTGAAAAACATCCCCACAGCATGATGCTGCCACCACCATGCTTCACCGTAGGGATGGTGCCTGGTTTCCTCCAGACGTGACGCTTGGCATTCAGGCCAAAGAGTTCAATCTTGGTTTCATCAGACTAGAGAATCTTGTTTCTCATGGTCTGAGAGTCCTTTAGGTGCCTTTTGGCAAACTCCAAGCGGGCTGTCATGTGCCTTTTACTGAGGAGTGGCTTCCGTCTGCCCACTCTACCATAAAGGCCTGATTGGTGGAGTGCTGCAGAGATGGTTGTCCTTCTGGAAGGTTCTCCCATCTCCACAGAGGAACTGTAGAGCTCTGTCAGAGTGACCATTGGGTTCTTGGTCACTTCCCTGACCAAGGCCCTTCTCCCTCGATTGCTCAGTTTGGCTGGGCGGCCAGCTCTAGGAAGAGCCTTGGTGGTTCCAAACCTCTTCCATTTAAGAATGATGGAGGCCAATGTGTTCTTTGGGACCTTCAATGCTTCAGAAATGTTTAAGGACCCTTCCCCAGATCTGTGCCTCGACACAATCCTGTCTCTGAGCTCTAGGGACAATTCCTTCGACATAGCTTGGTTTTTGCTCTGACATGCACTGTCAACTGTGGGACCTTTAATAGACAGGTGTGTGCCTTTCCAAATCATGTCCAATCAATTGAATTTACCACAGGTGGACTGCAATCAAGTTGTAGAAACATCTGAAGGATGATCAATGGAAACAGGATGCACCTGAGCTCAATTTCGAGTCTCATAGCAAAGGGTCTGAATACTTACGTAAATGAGGTATTTCTGTTTTTTATTTTTAATACATTTGCAAACATTTCTAAAAACCTGTTTTCACTTTGTCTTTCTGGGGCTGTAACGTAACAAAATTTGGAAAAAGGGAAGGGGTCTGAATACGTTCCGATGCACTGTATCTTGTTGAATCTTCCAAGCTTTGGAGATAAAATTTGCAACCAGGAATACTTATTTCCTAAATAGCCATTCAAGTTTTTTTTTCATCTCTGATCCAGAATAGTTGCTCTTTTATCAGTATTGCTCTCAAATCATCATATAAAATACAATAAAGGGCAGTCCATTCTCGACCTCTCCTAAATCACAGACAGTACATAGTCGCTCTTCTTCATCTATGGCATTGAACCTACCTACTTCAATTGCCAGAGGCAGTATCCCAGTTCTCAACTGGGCACATAAGGACCTTTGGTTTCTGGTTAGGTGAGAGTGACAAGATATGAGATATGAAATGTGACATAAGATTCTGGATCTTAACCGTTTTTGATCTGGTTGTAAGTTCTGAGTTTTGGTTTTAGCCATATGTCAGTTGACGATTTTTCTTTGAATCTTAGGGTTAAGTTGTGTTTGATCATATTGACATTGCATTGTATCTTGTTTCTACATATGTGTTGTAGATCAGCTTCCTTAAATATGGCATTGAGTTTGTTCCTTTTTCCAAGGGTAGTTGTGTGTTTTATCCCAGTTGAAAACCTTTTTTGTTATTCTGTCCTCTGCAATATGACAAGGCAGTTCCATAACCTAATCATTTCACCCCTCTGCCTTATTTGACAGGGCTCCCAACCCATGTCTCCTTGAATAGCAAGGCTTGGGGCAAACATCGTACGGCTCTATTCTGAATAGAGTTTGCTGTTTTGGATTCTTTAAAACCCCATATTTCAGCAGCATAGTTCAGTACACACATAAATTATACAGCTGTGAATATGTGCAATAGCCAAGGTCTTTACTGATTTTAAGTTGACTTACAATAGAACCCAATACTCTACCTGCATAATCTGATAAAGACTTTATACCCTCTTCAAAGGTCATACATTCATCAAAATGGAAACCAAGGTATTTATATGAGCTAGTGTATTTTAGGGGCATTGCTCCAAAAGAAAATGAATACTTCTTACTGTACCCTTTTGTCTAAACTGCATTAACTGGGTTTTTATCTTGTTTAATCATTATCTCCATTTGGTACACCAGAGATTGACAGAGTTCAACATACAAAGCAAATCAAACTCACTCTCTGCAAGGAGGACAATATCATCTGCGTACAATAGTATCCACAATGTTGTGTCATCTAATTTAACTCCTAGGTTGGCGTGCTTGATTTTCTGGGGCAAGTCATTTACAAAAAGGTCAAACAAAGTTGAGGAAAACAAGTCGCCTTGTTTGACTCCAAACGAAGTGGGAAACCATCCAGTCTTCAACTAATTTACCTGTATACAGGCGACTGTAGCTCTATATAGAGCTTTAATTGCATCATATAATTTATCATCCACCCCGGGATTATACGTTTGAAAGCAAGAAGATCTCTATCTACCCAGTCAAAGGCCTTTTGGAAATCAATAATAAATACATACAATGCCTTGCAAAAGTATTCATCCCCCTTGGCGTTTTTCCTATTTTGTTGCATTACAACCTGTAATTTAAATTGATTTTTATTTTGATTTCATGTAATGGACATACACAAAATAGTCCAAATTGGTGAAGTGAAATGAAAAAAATAACTTGTTTCAAAGAATTCTAAAAAATAAATAACGGAAAAGTGGTGCGTGCATATGTATTCACCACCTTTGCTATTAAGCCCTTAAATAGGATCTGGTGCAACCAATTACCTTCAGAAGTCACATAATTAGTTAAATAAAGTCCACCTGAGTGCAATCTAAGTGTCACATGATCTGTTACATGATCTCAGTATATATACAGCTGTTCTGAAATGCCCCAGAGTCTGCAACACCCCTAAGCAAGGGGAACCACCAAGCAAGCTGCACCATGAAGACCAAGGAGCTCTCCAAACAGGTCAGGGACAAAGTTGTGGAGAAGTACAGATCAGGGTTGGGTTATAAAAAAATATCAGAAACTTTTAACATCCCACAGAGCACCATTAAATCCATTATTAAAAAATGGAAAGAATATGGCCCCACAACCAACCTGCCAAGAGAGGGCCGCCCACCAAAACTCACGGACCAGGCAAGGAGGGCATTAATCAGAGAGGCAACAAAGAGACCAAAGATAACCCTGAAGGAGCTGCGAAGCTCCACAGCGGAGATTGGAGTATCTGTCCATAGGACCACTTTAAGCCTTGTTTAAAGAAATGTACTTATTGTGATCGAGATGTAGTTGTCCCACTGGCTATCCTAAATTGAATGCACCAATTTGTAAGTCGCACTGGATAAGAGCGTCTGCTAAATGACTTAATTGTAAATGTCCATAGGACCACTTTAAGCCGTACACTCCACAGAGCTGGGCTTTACGGAAGAGTGGCCACAAAAAAAAGCCATTGCTTAAAGAAAAAAATAAGCAAACATATTTGGTGTTCGCCAAAAGGCATGTGGGAGACTCCCCAAACAGGTGGAAGAAGGTACTCTGGTCAGATGAGACTAAAATTGAGCTTTTTGGCCATCAAGGAAAACGCTATGTCTGGCGCAAATCCAACACTTCTCATCACCCCGAGAACACCATCCCCACAGTGAAGCATGGTGGTGGCAGCATGATGCTGTGGGGATGTTTTTCATCGGCAGGGACTGGGAAACTGGTCACAATTGAAGGAATGATGGATGGCACTAAATACAGGGAAATTCTTGAGGGAAACCTGTTTCAGTCTTCCAGAGATTTGAGACTGGGATGGAGGTTCACCTTCCAGCAGGACAATGACCCTAAGCATACTGCTAAAGCAACACTTGAGTGGTTTAAGGGGAAACATTTAAATGTCTTGGAATGGCCTAGTCAAAGCCCAGATCTCAATCCAATTGAGAATCTGTGGTATGACTTAAAGATTGCTGTACACCAGCGTAACCCATCCAACTTGAAGGAGCTGGAGCAGTTTTGCCTTGAAGAATGGGCAAAAATCCCAGTGGCTAGATGTGCCAAGCTTATAGAGACATACCCCAAAAGACTTGTAGCTGTAATTGCTGCAAAAGGTGGCTCTACAAAGTATTGACTTTCGGGGGGTGAATAGTTATGCACGCTCAAGTTTTCAGTTTTTTTGTCTTATTTCTTGTTTGTTTCACATTTTTATTTAATTTTGCATCTTCAAAGTGGTAGGCATGACTTTGGGATTGGTTTAATAATAGGTCTGTACCAAGTTGAAGAGATGATACCATTTTCAAAACACATTAGAAAAAGACTTAAAGGAGAATTTAGGATTTAATTTGGCCCAAGTCAATAGCCTAGTGGAGTCAGGATTTTTGCAGGCTTCAACCCTGTTCCTGGAGAGCAGTCAGTTTCATCATCCTCCCATTCCCTGAAATGTAGAAATCTCTCCCAGATCTCTCGTAGGAGTGTTCTGAAGTTGTTCGATGATTAGATCTGTGTGGGACGATCTGATGAACACCCTCTCAAATTTTTGGCTGCTCTTCAGATGTTGCTTCAGCCGGAGGACATCCACTTTATCTTTGACCCCCCCATAATGCGACCTTTAGAAATCCTGGTCCCCGGCCTCTCGCTCTCATTCTTTTGGTTGCCACCAGCTCTGGCACCTGCTCATAACGCAGACCCTTGGTGAGCAGCTCCCTCACCTTTTCTGACATATATCTTTGTTGTCCTCATAAGGTAGGCCTGTTACTATTATAGATATGTCTGGATCGAACCGGTTAGTTGGGTTATTCTTGGGTTGTTAAATGTTTTCCCAGATACTTTCCATTCTTGAACTCAGGAGCGCTATATAGAGGTCAATACTGTCATGGATTTCTTTGGCTTTCTGCTCCAAATCGTTTTTTATGAGATCTCGATTTTCTATGACCAGATTCTCCAGGTTGTCACGGAGGCCCTTGAGCTTGTTATTTATTTGCTTTCCAAGAGTTGTTTGCATTGTGTCCATTTTCGCATTGAGCAACTTCAATTCTTTCATTGTACTGGCGGTGGCGTTTTTGTCGAAGCGAGTCTCCATCGGGTTATTTTCTGCTATAGGCCTAATCATAGTGCAGCAGACTTCTCACTTATGATTAAGATAACCTACTGCTTTGAAAGTTTAAAACTAGGTATCTACATCTTGTTTTCAAAGTTTTGTCTCAAAGTTTGCTACATGCTGTTCACCAACCGGAAGTTATACAGTGGGGAGAACAAGTATTTGATACACTGCCGATTTTGCAGGTTTTCCTACTTACAAAGCATGTAGAGGTCTGTAATTTTTATCATAGGTACACTTCAACTGTGAGAGACGGAATCTAAAACAAAAATCCAGAAAATCACATTGTATGATTTTTAAGTAATTAATTTGCATTTTATTGCATGACATAAGTATTTGATCACCTACCAACCAGTAAGAATTCCGGCTCTCACAGACCTGTTAGTTTTTATTTAAGAAGCCCTCCTGTTCTCCACTCATTACCTGTATTAACTGCACCTGTTTGAACTCGTTACCTGTATAAAAGACACCTGTCCACACACTCAATCAAACAGACTCCAACCTCTCCACAATGGCCAAGACCAGAGAGCTGTGTAAGGACATCAGGGATTAAATTGTAGACCTGCACAAGGCTGGGATGGGCTACAGGACAATAGGCAAGCAGCTTGGTGAGAAGGCAACAACTGTTGGCGCAATTATTAGAAAATGGAAGAAGTTCAAGATGATGGTCAATCACCCTCGTTCTGGGGCTCCATGCAAGATCTCACCTCGTGGGGCATCAATGATCATGAGGAAGGTGAGGAATCAGCCCAGAACTACACAGAAGGACCTGGTCAATGACCTGAAGAGAGCTGGGACCACAGTCTCAAAGAAAACCATTAGTAACACACTACGCCGTCATGGATTAAAATCCTGCAGCGCACGCAAGGTCCCCCTGCTCAAGCCAGCGCATGTCCAGGCCCGTCTGAAGTTTGCCAATGACCATCTGGATGATCCAGAGGAGGAATGGGAGAAGGTCATGTGGTCTGATGAGACAAAAATAGAGCTTTTTGGTCTAAACTCCACTTGCCGTGTTTGGAGGAAGAAGAAGGATGAGTACAACCCCAAGAACACCATCCCAACCGTGAAGCATGGAGATGGAAACATCATTCTTTGGGTATGCTTTTCTGCAAAGGGGACAGGACGACTGCACCGTATTGAGGGGAGGATGGATGTGGCCATGTATCGCGAGATCTTGGCCAACAACCTCCTTCCCTCAGTAAGAGCATTGAAGATGGGTCGTGGCTGGGTCTTCCAGCATGACAACGACCCGAAACACACAGCCAGGGCAACTAAGGAGTGGCTCCGTAAGAAGCATCTCAAGGTCCTGGAGTGGCCTAGCCAGTCTCCAGACCTGAACCCAATAGAACATCTTTGGAGGGAGCTGAAAGTCCGTATTGCCCAGCGACAGCCCCGAAACCTGAAGGATCTGGAGAAGGTCTGTATGGAGGAGTGGGCCAAAATCCCTGCTGCAGTGTGTGCAAACCTGGTCAAGACCTACAGGAAACGTATGATCTCTGTAAATGCAAACAAAGGTTTCTGTACCAAATATTAAGTTCTGCTTTTCTGATGTATCAAATACTTATGTCATGCAATAAAATGCAAATTAATTACTTTAAAATCATACAATGTGATTTTCTGGATTTTTGTTTTAGATTCTGTCTCTCACAGTGGAAGTGTACCTATGATAAAAATTACAGACCTCTACATGCTTTGTAAGTAGGAAAACCTGCAAAATTGGCAGTGTATCAAATACTTGTTCTCCCCACTGTATATGAAACATGTGATCTGCCTCCTATACAAGCCCCATTGTGTCTTGGGTTGCGTTTACACAGGCTGATTGGTCAAAAGACAAATTAGTGGCAAAAGATCAGAATTGGGCTGCCTGTGTAAACACAGCCCTAGATACTCACTGTATTGAATGACCCTCCTCATCTTCTTCCAGACTCTGAAGGGCAGGTTGCCCAGGTGTTTGGCCACATCTAGCAGCGCTCCTTGGTCCAGCTTTGGATCCGGCACGTACAACAAGTTCTGGAAGAACATTCAGGAGAGGTGTCAGTGCTGCTGTGGGGTTGGGTTCAGAACCAGAGAAGATAGAGACAGGAGGCAGATCACTTAACTTTCCAGTGTGGCCTGTTACTTCTGCTGGAGAAAGGAAAACATAATAAAACAGTAAAGAGATGCCAATCAATCAAAATAAATACATAGCATATACCAATGCTTCCTATTAGGTATGGAACAAGAGGCCATTCTTACCTGCAGGAAAGAGATGTTTTCAGCTTTCAGTTCCTCCTCTATGGCCTTGATTCTGTCTGAAGGTGATGACAGGCCTGGCTCTCTTTTTAGCTCTTCAATATTCTTAATATTTTCACTCTGCTTCTCTTCCTCCCTCAGTGCAGCTATCCTGGCCTCCTCTTCCTATTGTAGAAACTGGTGAAGCTCCTCCTTAATCTGCTTCTCTGTCTGTTGGGCCTGAAGACAGCAGAGAAGAAAGTCTCAGATAATAACAGCAATATCATTCCTTTCCTCCATACTTCCAGAGGCTTAAAAGGTGCTGCCAATGACTGGAACAAACTGCAAAAATCTCTGAAGCTGGAGACTCTTATCTCCCTCACTAACTTTAAGTATCAGTTGTCAGAGCACCTTACCAATCACTGCACCTGTACACAGCCCATCTGAAATTAGCCCACACAACTACCTCATCCCCATATTGTTATTTATTTTGCTCATTTGCACCCCAGTATCACTATTTGCACATCATCTCTTGCACATCTATCATTCCAGTGTTAATACTAATTGTAATTATTTTGCACTATGGCCTATTTATTGCCTTACCTCCATAACTTGCTACATTTGCACACACTGTATATATATTTTCTGTTGTATTTTTGACTTTATGTTTTGTTTTACCCCATATGTAACTCTGTGTTGTTGTTTTTATCGCACTGCTTTGCTTTATCTTGGCCAGGTCGCAGTTATAAATGAGAACTTGTTCTCAACTGGCTTACCTGGTTAAATAAAGGTGGAAAAAAAAAGTGTACAGTACTGTTGCATCTCAACATCACTCTACATTGTTACCTACAGTGAGGGAAAAAAGTATTTGATCCCCTGCTGATTTTGTATGTTTGCCCACTGACAAAGGAATGATCAGTCTATAAATTTAATGGTAGGTTTATTTGAACAGTGAGAGTGTCAAGGATGTTGTAAGTGGGTGTGGTGGTGGAATCAAGCCCAGGACGCAGAAGTATAGTTCCAAAGACTTTAGTGAAATCTCTAACCGTGCAAGCACTAAATAGCCCGAAGGCGAAACTCCGCGCGCAGGCGAAATAAAACGGGCGCACAGACAGGTGCGACAAAACTCTCCAAACTATGGAGGACAGCTCTACCGAGCAAATAGTCAAAACATCCAGCAACAAAGCACGACAGTGAAAACAATCACACACAACACTAACACAAACCCAAGGAGAACTTATAGGACACTAATCACTAAACGAAAACAGGTGTGACAACAATTAGACAAAAGCAAACGAACATAGAAACATGCAACGGTGGCAGCTAGTATTCCGGAGACAACGAACGCCGAAGCCTGCCCGAGCAAGGAAGAGAGGCAGCCTCGGCCGAAACCGTGACAGTACCCCCCCCCTTGACGCGCGGCTCCAGACGTGCGCCGACTCCGGCCTCGGGGACGACCAGGAGGACGCGGAGCAGGATGCGTCGGGTGCCCACGATGGAATTCCGTCAGGAGAGACGGGTCCAAAATGTCCCTCCTTGGCACCCAGCACCGCTCCTCCGGGCCGTACCCCTCCCACTCCACTAGATATTGGAGACCCCCCATCCGACGTCTCGAATCCAAGATGGACCGCACGGAGTACGCCGGTGCCCCCTCGATGTCCAATGGGGGCGGAGGAGTCTCCCTGATCTCACTTTCTTGGAGTGGGCCAGCTACCACCGGCCTGAGAAGAGACACATGGAACGAGGGGTTAATACTTTTATATTCAACAGGTAGTTGTAATTTGTAACACACCTCGTTCAACCTTCTCAGGACTTTAAATGGCCCTACAAACCGCCGACCCAGTTTCCGACAGGGCAGGCGGAGGGGCAGGTTTCTGGTAGAGAGCCAGACTCGATCACCAGGTGCGTACACCGGTCCCTCACTGCGGTGGAGATCGGCGCTCGCCTTATGACGCCGGAGGGCCCGCTGCAGGTGGACGTGTGCAGCGTTCCATGTCTCCTCCGAGCGCCGCACCCACTCATCCACCGCAGGAGCCTCGATCTGGCTCTGCTGCCAAGGTGCCAGAACCGGCTGGTAACCTAACACACATTGGAAAGGGGTTAGGTTAGTGGAGGAATGGCGTAGGGAATTCTGGGCCATTTCGGCCCAGGGAACGTACCTTGCCCACTCCTCTGGCCGGTCCTGGCAGTATGTTCTAAGAAACCTACCCACATCCTGGTTCACACGTTCCACCTGCCCATTACTCTCCGGGTGGTAACCCGAGGTGAGGCTCACCGAGACCCCCAATCGCTCCATAAAAGCTCTCCAGACTCTGGAGGTAAATTGGGGACCTCGATCAGACACAATATCCTCGGGTACCCCGTAGTGCCGGAACACATGGGTGAATAGTGCTTCGGCGGTTTGCAGGGCAGTAGGAAGGCCCGGCATGGGGAGCAAACGACAGGCCTTAGAAAACCGGTCCACAACGACCAGTATAGTGGTATTCCCCTGTGAAGGAGGAAGGTCAGTTAGGAAATCCACCGAGAGGTGAGACCATGGTCGTTGTGGAACGGGCAGGGGTAGTAACTTACCCCTAGGCAGATGTCTAGGCGCCTTACACTGGGCGCACACCGAGCAGGAGGAAACATAAACCCTCACATCCCTCGCCAACGTGGGCCACCAGTACTTGGCACTAAGACAGTGCACTGTCCGGCCGATACCAGGGTGTCCAGAGGAGGGTGACGTGTGAGCCCAATAGATCAATCGATCCCGAACCTCGAGCGGAACGTACTTCCGACCCTCTGGGCATTGAGGTGGACTAGGGTCGGTGCGTAACGCTCGCTCGAGTTCAGCATCGACCTCCCACACTACCGGTGCCACCAGACACGACTCTGGCAGTATGGGAGTGGGCTCCACGGACCTCTCCTCCGTGTCATACCGCCGAGACAGTGCGTCTGCCTTACCATTCTGTGACCCAGGGATGTACGTGATCTTGAATGTGAACCGGGTCAAAAACATATTCCACCTCGCCTGGCGAGGGTTCAGCCTCCTCGCTGCCCGGATGTACTCCAGGTTACGGTGGTCCGTCAAAATGAGGAAAGGGTGTTGAGCCCCCTCAAGCCAGTGCCTCCACACCTTTAGGGCCTGTACCACGGCTAACAGCTCCCTGTCCCCTACGTCATAGTTTCGCTCCGCCGGACTGAGCTTCTTGGAATAAAAAGCACAGGGGCGGAGTTTAGGTGGCGCGCCGGACCGTTGCGAAAGCACGGCTCCTATACCGGCCTCTGACGCGTCCACCTCTACCTGAAATGGCAAAGAGGGATCCGGATGCGCCAACACCGGGGCCGAGGTAAACAGGTCCTTCAGCCTCCCAAACGCCCTGTCCGCCTCGGCAGACCACTGCAGACGCATCGGACCCCCCTTCAAAAGAGACGTGATGGGAGCTGCCACCTGTCCAAAACCCCGGATAAACCTCCGGTAGTAATTCGCAAACCCCAAAAACTGCTGCACCTCCTTCACAGTGGTTGGTGTTTGCCAATTACGCACGGCTGACACCCGGTCTACCTCCATCTTCACCCCTGACGCAGACAACTGATACCCCAAAAAGGAGACCGACTCCTGGAAAAACAGACACTTCTCTGCCTTGACATACAGGTCGTGCTCCACCAGCCTCCGCAACACTCTGCGCACCAGGGCCACATGCTCGACTTGGGTAGGCGAGTACACGAGAACGTCATCTATGTACACAACCACCCCCTGCCCCTGCATGTCCCTGAAGATCTCATCCACGAATGATTGGAAAATTGACGGAGCGTTCATCAACCCGTATGGCATGACAAGATACTCGTAATGGCCCGAGGTGGTACTAAAGGCTGTCTTCCATTCATCGCCCTCCCTGATGCGCACCAAGTTGTACGCGCTCCTGAGATCTAATTTAGTGAAGAAACGCGCCCCATGCAATGACTCAGTCATGGTCGCAATCAGCGGGAGTGGATAACTGTACTTCACCGTGATCTGATTGAGACCACGGTAATCGATGCACGGGCGTAACCCACCATCCTTTTTCTTCACAAAAAAGAAACTCGAGGACGCAGGGGAAGTGGAAGGCCGTATGTATCCTTGTCTCAGAGATTCATCTATGTAAGTCTCCATAGCTTTCTTCTCCTCCTGAGACAGAGGATACACATGGCTCCGTGGGAGCGCAGCTCCTGCCTGGAGGTCTATCGCACAATCTCCCTGCCTATGGGGCGGCAACTGCGTCGCCCTCGACTTACTAAACGCAATAGCCAAATCCCCATACTCAGGGGGAACGTGCAATGCGGGCACCTGGTTTGGACTCTCCACCGAGGTAGCCCCTACGGAAACGCCCAAACATCGACCCACACACTGAGCAGACCACTCCATCAGAGCTCTCTCCTGCCACGAAATAGATGGGTTATGGGTACTCAACCAGGGCATGCCCAGCACCACCGGATACGCAGGCGAGTCGATCAGAAATAGCTGGATCATCTCCTGATGACCCCCCTGCGCACACATCCTAAGTGGCGCTGTAACCTCCCTGATCAAGCCCGCACCCAACGGACGGCTATCTAGGGCATGAACGGGGAAAGGAACGTCAACAGGTAGAAGGGGAATCCCTAAGGCTAAACAAAATTGCTTATCAACAAAATTCCCAGCCGTGCCTGAATCTACCAGCGCCTTATGCTGGGAATGAGGTGCTACCTGTGGAAAACGCACAGGTATACAAAAATGTGCAACAGAGAGCTCTGGGTGAGTGGGGGCGCCTACTCACCTGGAAGGACTCCCCAGTGCGGGACCTGTCGTCTTCCCCCCTAGGAGGCCATCCCCAGCACCTAGCCGCGGTGTGTCCTCCCCGACCACAGTTGGTGCAGGAGATGGACCCCCTCGTATTCCGACCCCTCCTCTCTCTAGCGCCAGCGCCACCGAGCTCCATGGGGCACGGCTCGGAAGCGCTGGAGGGTGAAATGGACGGACCCCCCTCGGGACGTCTGCGGGTAGCTAGCAGGGTATCCAGCCTGATGGACATGTCGACCAACTGGTCGAACGAGAGACTGGTGTCCCTACAGGCCAGCTCCCTACGGACGTCCTCACGTAGACTACATCGATAGTGATCGATGAGGGCCCGCTCATTCCACCCTGCATCCGCCGCTAGAGTGTGGAATTCTAAGGCGAACTCCTGGGCACTCCTCCTCCCCTGCCGGAGGCCGAACAGACGCTCCCCCGCCGCTTTCCCCTCCGGGGGATGGTCAAACACCGCCCTGAAGCGGCGGGAGAAATCGTCGTAGGTGATGGTGTTAGCGTCTATTCTCCTCCACTCTGCGTTGGCCCATTCCAACGCTTTACCGGAAAGGCAGGAGATCAGGGCGGACACGCTCTCGTGCCCCGAGGGCGCTGGGTGCACGGTGGCCAGGTAAAGCTCCACCTGGAGAAGGAATCCCTGACACCCGGCAGCGGTCCCATCGTAGGCCCTCGGGAGCGAGAGTTGAACTCCTCTGGGTTCCGGAGCGGGAAGAGGCTGACTTGCCGATGGCGCGGGCAGGGACGATGGTAGTGGAGGTGTCCCTCGGGTCTCCCAGCCTCTGATGGTGGTGATCACCTCCTGCAATGCGGACCCCATCCGCAGGATCTGGTCATCTAGCTGGCGGACCCTGTCCTCCAGCGTCGCCTGCGCTGCTTCGGCTCCTGCTGATTCCATTTAACGGTGTGTGATTCTGTCAAGGATGTTGGAAGTGGGTGTGGTGGTGGAATCAGGCGCAGGACGCAGAAGTATAGTTCCAAAGACTTTAGTGAAATCTCTAACCGTGCAAGCACTAAATAGCCCGAAGGCGAAACTCCGCGCGCAGGCGAAATAAAACGGGCGCACAGACAGGTGCGACAAAACTCTCCAAACTATGGAGGACAGCTCTACCGAGCAAATAGTCAAAAACATCCAGCAACAAAGCACGACAGTGAAAACAATCACACACAACACTAACACAAACCCAAGGAGAACTTATAGGACACTAATCACTAAACGAAAACAGGTGTGACAACAATTAGACAAAAGCAAACGAACATAGAAACATGCAACGGTGGCAGCTAGTATTCCGGAGACAACGAACGCCGAAGCCTGCCCGAGCAAGGAAGAGAGGCAGCCTCGGCCGAAACCGTGACAGAGAGACAGAATAACAACAAAAAAATCCAGAAAAACGCATGTCAAAAATGTTATAAATTGATTTGCATTTTAATGAGGGAAGTAAGTATTTGACCCCCTCTCAATCAGAAAGATTTCTGGCTCCCAGGTGTCTTTTATACAGGTAACGAGCTGAGATTAGGAGCACACTCTTAAAGGGAGTTTGTCTCAGTTTGTTACCTGTATAAAAGACACCTGTCCACAGAAGCAATCAATCAATCAGATTCCAAACTCTCCACCATGGCCAAGACCAAAGAGCTCTCCAAGGATGTCAGGGACAAGATTGTAGACCTACACAAGGCTGGAATGGGCTACAAGACCATCGCCAAGCAGCTTGGTGAGAAGGTGACAACAGTTGGTGCAATTATTCGCAAATGGAAGAAAAACAAAAGAACTGTCAATCTCCCTTGGCCTGGGGCTCCATGCAAGATCTCACCTCGTGGAGTTGCAATGATCATGAGAACGGTGAGGAATCAGCCCAGAACTACACGGGAGGATCTTGTCAATGATCTCAAGGCATCTGGGACCATAGTCACCAAGAAAACAGTTGGTAACACACTACGCCGTGAAGGACTGAAATCCTGCAGGTGCCCGCAAGGTCCCCCTGCTCAAGAAAGCACATATACAGGCCCGTCTGAAGTTTGCCAATGAACATCTGAATGATTCAGAGGAGAACTGGGTGAAAGTGTTGTGGTCAGATGAGACCAAAATGGAGCTCTTTGTCATCAACTCAACTCGCCGTGTTTGGAGGAGGAGGAATGCTGCCTATGACCCCAAGAACACCATCCCCACCGTCAAACATGGAGGTGGAAACATTATGCTTTGGGGGTGTTTTTCTGCTAAGGGACAGGACAACTTCACCGCATCAAAGGGACGATGGACGGGGCCATGTACCGTCAAATCTTGGGTGAGAACCTCCTTCCCTCAGCCAGGGCATTGAAATGGGTTGTGGATGGGTATTCCAGCATGACAATGACCCAAAACACACGGCCAAGGCAACAAAGGAGTGGCTCAAGAAGAAGCACATTAAGGTCCTGGAGTGGCCTAGCCAGTCTCCAGACCTTAATCCCATAGAAAATCTGTGGAGGGAGCTGAAGGTTCGAGTTGCCAAACGTTAGCCTCGAAACCTTAATGACTTGGAGAAGATCTGCAAAGAGGAGTGGGACAAAATCCCTCCTGAGATGTGTGCAAACCTGGTGGCCAACTACAAGAAACGTCTGACCTCTGTGATTGCCAACAAGGGTTTTGCCACCAAGTACAAAGTCATATTTTGCAGAGGGTCAAATACTTATTTCCCTCATTAAAATGCAAATATTTTTATAACATTTTTGACATGCGTTTTTCTGGATTTTTTTGTTGTTATTCTGTCTCTCACTGTTCAAATAAACCTACCATTAAAATTATAGACTGATCATTTCTTTGTCAGTGGGCAAACGTACAAAATCAGCAGGGGATCAAATACTTTTTTCCCTCACTGTACATATACTGTGCTGTTTGATCACGTCAGTCTATTGAAGAGCTTCTTCTTTCAAGTCTCCAGTTGACATATTTCTGAAATGAAACAGCATATAAAGAGAGAAGTGGAAGGGCACAGTAGTTAGTAACGTTATATCTCCTACCTTTCCAGTTAGTGCAGCTTCTTCCATCGATAACGAGAAGTCCTCCATTTAAGCCTTTTATGAGAGGCAGCTATAACTCTGAGGAAGACGAAGACGAAGACGTACTGCACAGAGCAAGACATTGAAAGAGTGAGACGACTTGGGGAGAGAGGAATGGCACAACTCAACTTTGACCGCTAGGGGAGCCCTCGAGTAGACGTTGAGCGGGTCATCCCGTTGAAAGAGTGTGACCTCTCGGGTCGGGGAGAGAGGGATGTGTACTTTTGTGGATGCAAGGACATCTCTGTCAGGGAAAGCCACTGCACAGATAGAACAAGGAGCAGAAGTGTAACCAGCTAGATGGATTCCGTGATTAGCATTTTGTCTGTACATTACTTTTATAACAGGTTTATATGTTGTTTTGAACTGTTGTTAAGACATTCGTTAAGATTAAACTTGGCTGTTATTGTTGCAAACAATTATTTCTGATGTAGCAGACAGGGCTATCAAGCTTGCTAGCTAACCATCATAATGGGTTTGTTAGCTAGCCAATTTAGCTAGCTAGTGTCGTCAACCAGATTAGCAACTGAATTCAAATTATTTTGAGTGTAATGCAGTTGATTGGTGACAATGGTATGAACATATATTCAGCATTATATGAGCATTATAACATGATTATTACCCAAAATAAATGTGGAATGGAATGTATATTTAGACTTTGGCTGGGCTTGCTAAGGGAGCGGTCGAAATTTAGCATTTGTTACTTGGAGGAAAATGGGGGAGGGTGGTGCTTTTTCAATTTCAGTCAGGGGGAGGGTTTAGTCTTTTTTTTCTTTTTTCAGGGGAGGGTCATGTAATTTGTAATCGATTAAATGTCATATTGCTCAGTGTTCAATAATTAGTTTCTTATTATATCTCCATGTGTGCCCGATGCTGCCCCTCATCACTGATTCTCTGCTGGGTGAACAATATCAACTGCACCTAGTGTGGTCTCAATCAAATGATCCATAGCCTATACTATTGGCTATAGGCCTAGGCTATACGAAGAGCATACTCTGGGAAGCACAGGGCAAAGTTATATTTCTAAGAAAATGTACTTCCTTCCCAAGTTTTTTGCACCGCTGGGATAGTGCATATAAAACTAGGCTACACTGCATTACACACTGCAATGGATAGGCTATCCCTGCTCTTGCTGATGTAAACCCTTTTGTGCTGCCTAACCAATGGCTGTGCTGTGTACAGTGGCACTTCAGGAGGCGAGTCAAAGGCTTCTTCTGAAAAAAATTTTGTTTGTCCAAAAAATGCAATATCTGTGATGTCCTGTTCAGTTTCAGAAGGAGAGCGCGAAGACGAGAAGGAGGACCGGAGGTAAGCTTGCTACTGCTATAATTGATTGTAATAAAAACAATATGTTTCGTTGCCCATAATGAAGCTATTTATCAGAGTTATTGACCTCACAATAAGCCACATTAGAGTAATTTACATAACTATGAAGCGGCAGCTGCGGAGATGGACAGCGCATGGGTGCTGAAGCTATGCTAATTCGAGAAGAACTAATTCATTTAAACAGTCTTTATTTTAATTTGACTTTAGGCTACTAATAGCAAGAGGGCTTTATGTTGGAGCCCATTTCTTCCTATTCAAGAAATAAGAGGTATGCCTATCTGTTTGACAGACGAAATTGGTGTGTTAAGTTAAAACCAGAGCTTGAATTGAGGGGCTATGTGAGGCTAAATGGATAAAGGCATATGCATACCCGTTGTTAGCTTAAGATTTTGAAGAAAATGTAATGGACCTGATTATATAAAGCAATCTATAACAACGCTTTAGTCCGCAATGCTTTATGCTAGAAACAAGCTGTAAATTGCCAGGGAAAGACGTGACTCCGATGCATATGGGATATATTTGGTTTGTGTCTATGACGTTCAGAGGCTGCACTACAACCTTCTATAGCCGAGGAAACAAAAAATATACTTTGCTTGGAAAGTACAGTAATGTGTGATTCTGTCACTATCAATTGACGTTCAACATTTCAAAAGGCTATTAAAGAATATACTAACTCTAAATCAGTCAGGAGAAAGCTGCAGGTAGCCTAAGAACATATATTATTTAGGCTATATTATTATAATAATTTCAAGGCTATATATAGCCTGCCATTTCAGAAACAAATTGTGAAGCATTTGTAACAGCTACAGGCTGGCAGGAGTGCTCAGCATTTCAACAACACATCAACAACAGCACTTCAACAACATACCTATACATTTTGCATTTAGGCTGTATAAAATGAAATAAATAAAACAATTATTACTTAGAATTAAATAATAATGAAACAAAAATGGCTTATTAGGCTATACAGTCATTCTACAGTTCCATTGAATTAACTTTTAGGAACACGAGTTTCACTGGCAGCTTCATTAAATAGTACCCGCAAAACACCAGTCTCAACGTCAACAGTGAAAAGGCGACTCCTGGATGCTGACCTTCAAGGCAGAGATGCAAAGAAAAAGCCACATCTCAGATTGGCCAATAAAAATAAAAGATTAAGATGGGCAGTCTGAGATATGGCTTTTTCTTTGCAACTCTGCCTAGAAGGTCAGCATCCCGGAGTCGCCTCTTCACTGTTGACGTTGAGACTGGTGTTTTGCAGATACTATGTAATGAAGCTGCCAGTTGAGGACCTGTGAGACATCTGTTTCTCAAACTAGACACTCTAATGTATTTGTCCTCTTGCTCAGTTGTGCACCGGGGCCTCTACTCCTCTTTCTATTCTGGTTAGAGCCAGTTTGCGCTGTTCTGTGAATGGAGTAGTACACAGCGTTGTACGAGATCTTCAGTTTCTTGGCAATTTCTCGCATGGAATAGCCTTCATTTCTCAGAACAAGAATAGACTGACGAGTTTCAGAAGAAAGTTATTTGTTTCTGGCCATTTTGAGCCTGTAATCGAACCCACAATTGCTGATGCTCCAGATACTCAACTAGTCTCAAGAAGGCCAGTTTTATTGCTTCTTTAATCAGCACAACAGTTAATTGCAAAAGTGTTTTTTAATGATCAATTAGCCTTTTAAAATGATAAACTTGGATTAGCAAACACAATGTGCCATTGGAACACAGGACTGATGGTTGCTGATAATGGGCCTCTGAACGCCTATGTAGATATTCCATTAAAGATCAGCCGTTTCCAGCTACAATAGCCATTTACAACATTAACAATGTCTACACTGTATTTCTGATCAATTTGATGTTATGCTAAGTGACCCCAAACGTTTGAACGGTATTGTATATCTATTAATTATGAAATTATGTAAAATATTAATAACATTCCACCCATGAGGCCAAAGAGGTCACTTTGGTCATTGACTGCAGGAAAGGGCTACCAATAACCTGTATAGAAATCAAAACGTCTCCGGTGCTGCAGCATGTTACTCATTCGTTGTCATGCTCTGTTGTGGAATTATAAAAGATTCTGCTTGTCTCCAGTCATGCAAAATGACGTAGAATTGCATGAAATGCGTTTATAAAAGGCTATTTTTGTCAGACTGCAAATAAGTTGATAGGTTCATGTAGTGCTTTTATTGTAATGGAGATTCTTTCACCCTTGTCCGCGGTGGTCTGCGAATCCACAACCTTCTGGCTAATTTGCCATGTAATGCTTACCAAACAGATAACTGTTTTTAAAACTGCATATCAAAGACTCTGGTCTGTTCTAGGAGTGAGGGTAAATGGTAGGCATGTTCTCTGCTATCCACTTTGCGTTTTAATTGTTATTTTGGGTATAGGGGAGGGTCACTTGTTTTTATTTCAAGCGTTCAGGGAGGGTCGGGTAAAAATATATTTTACTGAATTGAGGGCCATCCATTTTTAGTTCAGAGTGGTCCGATTTTCTCCAGGTATCCTTCGTTATGAATAAAGTACATAATTGCTAACTTTAGTGTCACGTCTCCTCCCGTTGCTCCCCTCCGGCGCTCTGATTCGCCGGTCTACTGAGCCACCGGTCTGAGCGCACCACCTCGGCAACACCGGAATGGAAACCCAACGCACCCTAATCACCTCCAGCGCACCTGCAACTCATCATCTCATCACCACCCCTATTTAGCCCTGGACTGTTCTGGATGATGTTGTGTGTGATTGTTTAAGCTTCGTGTCGTTTCTTTGTTATTTCTCTTGCTCATTGTTAAGTAAACCTTGACCTTGTTAATTCCTGCGTCTGCGTCCTGCCTCTTCGTATTCTCAGTACGCGTCAGTTAGCCAGTGACGCTCTGCATGTTGGGAGTTGCAATGCAGACTGGAAGTCGTAGTATAACTGCTTATATTCTAAAGTGGTGGAATTTTCTTTGTAATATTTTTAACACTTGACCTCAGAACGCAGTTAGCTGCGCTTGTATGATATAAACTCTGTGGTGGTATTATATTTGGTAGGTTTCCCAGCTGGCACCAGTGATAGGTAGTGATGGGAAACCAAGGCTTTCTGAAGGCTTCGGAGCTTTCACCGAATTGTGGCGAAAAACGGTTCATTACTCAAACCTTCATTATATGTTCACAATGCACATTTATTTAACCTTTATTTTATCAGGGAGTCATACTGAGACCAAGGTCTCTTTTACAGATGAGCCCTGAATTACAGAAAATACACACATCATAATATAAATACAAAATGGAAGCAGAAAGGTAAACACGGTCATAAAAAACAAACACATTCATCAGTAAAAAGGTCCTCAATCAGCTTTCTGAATTGGCCTAGAGGCACCAAAACATCAAATTTAAGAACATTTTGAAGATTGTTCCACAAATAAGGTGCAAAAAAGCTAAAAGCTGATTTACCTAACTCAGTAGAGACCAAAGGAATTTTCGATAGGGAGGTCAACTGAACAATCTGCTTTCTCCTATTTAGCGAGAGGCAGGACCTATTTCTATAGAAGAAGCCCATTTTTATTCTCAGCTTCTTAACTCATCAATATGCTTTTTAAAAGACAGCTTTTCATCTATCCAGATGCCCAGATATGTGTAAGCAGGCACACTAACAATATGGACACCATCCAAAGTGCATATGC